GGACTGAGACAAGCAAAGTCGTCACTACGCTCGAGAACCCGGTTTAATCACGGGTGGCTGAAACTTGGATTAGACACCCGGATCTCAATGGTAACCAGCCCATCGCTATGAAAAGTTTGTGTCGGCCACTCACACAGTTCACGTATGCAGTAAGGCTCTTGATTATCTGCGTGCGGTTTAATCTGATTTGCGGATTAACCGCGCACCTGAGATTTTGACATAAATTAATAACTCTTTGGTTTTTTCGGTAAAGTCACGTATAAAGATAAAATAATAAATTGAATACTAGCATACGACATTTCGAGTCAGAGATTCGCGAAAAATTTCTATTTTTGGATCATCCGTGATTTTGAATTATCCGCGATTTAGAATTATCCGCGGCCATCCTCCCTGTCATTAGCGCGGATAATGGAGCGTTCTATTGTATTTATATATCGTGAAGAGAACAAACGAGTGCGCTTTATGCAGCTTTACAGTGTCAGCGCTAACTTGGTAACGTGCCACATCGCAGTGAGAAACTACGCTAATAACGCTTGTGGAGTGTCAGCGCTAACTTGGTAACGTGCCACATCGCGGTGAGAAACTACGCTAATCACGCTTGTGCAGTGTCAGTGCTAACTTGGTAACGTGGGCACATCGCGGTGAGAAACTACGCTAATAACGCTTGTGGAGTGTCGGTGCTAACCTGGGCAACGCGGGCACATCGCGGTGAGAAACTACGCTAATAACGCTTGTGCACAATTTACGGCGGATTTATATCCACCGGCGGCGCGGCGACAGCGGCAGCCTGTGGTACCAAATAATACAAAATGTCCTAGGGCAATTAAATATTGTATTTCTGGGACTCATACGCACCGTAGTGGCGCATCGTGTACAGCTCGTCGAGATGAGTCGATTGCCGCATTGCCGACCATCAATGGACTAAAAATGACTGCATCACGGACATTATGCGGGTGCTGCTATGAGGTTCATTTCCATTATTTCGCCGAGAACTGCGTCTCATTTTATGGCGACGATGTTTTCTTGGAGCGTGAACTCGCTGAAGAGGAGGGGGTAAAATAAATAAAAGTGATCGCTGTGTGGGTAGAGGGAGAGTGCTCTCTCCCCTCTCTCTCTCTGCCTGCGGGGAAAAATGAGCACCGGGTGGGGTGGTGGTGGTGGTGGTCAGACGTGTCAAGAGTCAGAAAAATTAGCTGGGGCCCCTGCTGACACACCGGGTTTGAAACGGGGTTTCAGCCACCCACGGCTTAAACCGGGTGTTCAAGTGGAGCGAGTGGGTTGCTGGCCTCGGCCAGGTCACCAATGAACATACACACCACACACACACTCCACACACACCACACACACACACACCACAGACACACACACCACACACACACCACACACACACCACACACACCACATACACCACACACACACCACACACACACCCCACACACCATACACAGACCACACACACACCACACACACACCACACACACCACGCACACACCACGTACACACCACACCCACACACCACGTACACACCACACACGCACCACACACGCACCACACACGCACACCACACGCACACCACACACACCACACACACCATACACCACACACACACACCACAGACACGGTTCGTTTCTCAGTCCGCTTGTCCTGGTGAGGGTCGTGGTGATGGTCCACACCTCCCTTTCCCCGGCGACAGACTACACTATACACTACTATACACTACACACTACTACACTATACACTACTACACACTATTACACTATACACTACACACTACTACACTATACACGACTACACACTATTACACTATACACTACACACTACTACACTATACACGACTACACACTACTACACTATACACGAATACACAGTACTAGGCTATACGCTCCTACACTACACACTACTACACTATACGCTCCTAAACTATTACACTATACTACACTATACACTACTACACTATACGCTACTATACTATACACTACTGTATACTATACACTCCTACACTACTATACACTACTACACTATACTATACACTGCTACACTACTACGCTATACACTACACTATACACTACTATACACTACACGTGGCCTGGCGTTCCCAGGCCAGCTGAGCGACATCGTCCCACTGCCACCAGCAGCAGCAGCAGCAGCGTGGTCCTGGGCCGGCCCCGGGGCCTTCGCCCAGTGGGACGTTGCTGCTGCTGCTGCTGCTGTGCTCCGTAGACTTCCAGGGGGAGTTTTACCAGAGGGGCATCCTTAACCAGGTGACCTAACCACCTCAAATGGCTCCTCTCGACTCGGGCACACGTAGAAAAAAAATGTAATCCATTATTTGCTTTTGTGTGTGTGTGTGCTTATGTTGGCAAAGTTCCAGCTCTGAGAATTTAATAAATGCAATACGTCTTGATGTCTCTCTTGTGACGGGGCGACTTGTTTTTCGAAGGTTTTCTCAGAAGTGGGCCTCCGGTGACCCCTTCTGCGGGTCCTTCTAACGCCCTGTCGTGCAAAAAACGCGTTGTTGCTTGCCCACGCCTACATGCATCATAGCACGGTTGCAATCAAGTTCATTTATTTGGTATAGCCCTGTGAGCCATTCGGCTCTTGAATCGGGTGCAACCGCAACAAACAAAAACATGAACAAGAAAACATCTTAAAGTGAATATGTGACTAAGTGCAAACAGAAAATCCAAGAAAAGACAGCAAAATATTGCAGAAAAATACACCGTACACCAACGCTGTGTGCAAAAATCCCAGTGGGATGCAAGTCAATTCGGGGAAGATACGAAAAATGTAAGGGCGCCGGGCATTGCACGATCAAAAAGCGCCCCCGCCTTGCCCAGACCACCAGCGCAGTGGAACTGAACGTGTGGCCACGCCGTCGTCGTCGTCACGATGGGTTTTCTCGCCGTTCGCGGACGTGATTCATCGTTTAATCTCGCGAGTGAATATAAAGTGCCTGGTGCGGCCCGTGGGTTGTGAACGTGAAGACATTGACAAGGAGAGTTGGAACGGCGATGACGGAGCCGGCGTGCGAGGCGCTGCTCGGATTACCGCATCACAGGATCGTGAGAGAGTAGGCGGCAGCTTGATTGGGGTGGTGGGGGGGGGGCTGGGGGGGGAAGCCTTCATCCAGCAGTGGATTGACCGTGGCTGACGATGACGATGATGATGGTGATGACGGTGAGCAGTGGTTGTGAGACGTTAAAATGTGAATGTGGGGGGTTGTGAGGAGGATAAGAAGTCGGCAGGACCTTTGTTAACACATTGTCCTGCGGAGGGAGCTGGTAGGAACGTTGGGTTGCTCGGTCAATGGCCAGGGTCAACGGCGGCGTGGTGTATTCCGCAAATATGGCCGACTGTGAGGGCGGGCACAAGCCGGCGTAAGTAGGTTAAACGTTGAGTTTTATAAGGGCACCACGGGTGACCAGCCCCTGCCCACCCAGCCCCACCCCTCCCACCCCCCACCCAGCCCCACCCTCCCCACCCAGCCCCTCCCCACCCTCCCCTCCCTACCCAGCCCCACCCTCCCCACCCAGCCCCTCCCCACCCAGCCCCTCCCCACCGAGCCCCTCCCTGCACGATGGACGGACGGACATAATAATCCCCTGTGGGCTGGTGTGACCAGAAGGTTCCTACCAGTATAAAGTTAAATAAACCTGTGTACGAGAGAGAGCGAGAGAGATCAGAATTCGTGTTAAGAGGTGGATGTCTGAAGCTGGAGTCGTGCCGATTACTACCGTAAGGGTCACGCGTTTGAACTCTGAACAAAGCAACTGAAAAATCGAGCCTTCTGGATTTTGGGTACGGGTGACCGTATGAATACGGTGCTACGAGCGATTAATTTAATGGAACGTTGGTTTAAGATCCTTGGAAGTTTTAAGCGGAACTTGGCAGGGAAGCAGTCGTATTAGATGGTAGAGGAGCGTACGAGGCTTTTCCACATGGAGAAATCGTTTGCGATAACATGTCTGCGCGTGATTTTTGTTGGCACGTGGGCTCAATTGGGAAATGTTTTTATTGCTCGTGCCATTGCGAAAACACGAACCGCACCACCAACAACGGCTTTGCAAAGGAAAAAAACGACAGCGTGAGACGATCAGAAGCCCGGCCTGATAGAGGATTGGGGTCAAAGGTGACATGTTCTGAATGTCGTAGATTTATGCACAGCGGTTCCTCGTTTAACCGCGGTAGATGTGTTCCTGAAAAGTGTCCTGCCATCTCACCCCCCCCCCCCCCCCCATGACAAATAATGTTAATGATAAAGTTTGGCGAGTTTGGCGATATGTACGGTGCACTACCACACACACACGGTGAGATGGCGGGAACAAAGAACTGAGATGAGGGTTACTTCGCCTCGTTACCGTACAATTCCGCGTACCGTATCACCGTACCGTCAGCCGGGCAGCTCGAGAAAGTAGTTCGCCGTCGACCGCTCAGAAACCGCGTTATAGCGGCGAGCGCGTCCCGCATTTTAGCGGCGAGCGGTTAAAGCGTTCCTTTATAGAACGACCGTGTCTGAGCGGAAACGTGCTATGGTGTGAACACGCATTAAGCGAGGGACTTATCGTACATACAAAGCGAACCGCTTATAGATATCCCACGGATATATTGGCGGGAAATTATCGCGCAAAACAACCAATTAATTTTTTTTAATGCTCCCATTCACGCGAGAGACGTTTCGACATGATCGCCTGCTTGCGTTGTGGCCGAAACGTCGTGAGAATTATTTTATTATGTTTTGTTTTTATTATTTTATTAATTCCCTTCTACGTGACTTTACCGAACGAACCAAGAAGAAGACCTCTGCAACCCAACTCGTTTGTAAGTCGAGGTTTCCCTGTACAACAAATGGTCACCGCATCCTGCGGATGATTCCGTGGGTAGCGTGGAATTTCTCTGCGTAGCAAAGTTTTGAGTCGACTCGCATAATTGTTTCATTAATTCATTTATCACTTTCACCGTGTGTATGTGTGTGTGTCCCCTCCACACAACTCCCCATGCAGGTGCACAGTTGCCGTGGATGATGTCATTTCCTCTGGACGCAGTCATGCTGTCAGCCACCCAGATTTACATCATTCTCATGGTGCACATCACAGCCTTCCTCAACTTCTGCCCGGCCAGCGGTTTCATCATCGCGGTGAGACTTGGGGTGACGGTGGTGGCGGGGCAGGCGGGCTTTCCGTCGGTCGCGCAGGAAGCCACGTTCACGAATGCCACGACTTCCCAACTACAGCTGCGACGTTTAGTTTGTTGTCCTTCCCCCGCACCTCCGAATAGCACGGTTGGATACGTAGGGCGTGAAAGAAGTTCTACATAAATGCATAGACTTACACGGAGACTCATAGAGTCACACAGAGACCCATAGTTTGTTGTCCTTACCCCGCAGCTCTCATTCGCACGGTTGGCTACGTACGGCGCGAAAGATGTTCAACGTACTTGCAGGTCATTCGGTCGATAAATCCGCTGAAAATTTGTGATCGACTGCTTTCTGTGGTCGATTACTCGGGGCTTCTGTTTTGGTCACCCTGCATTTGTGTATGTGTATGTTGAACTTCTTTGGCACCGTACGTAGCCAACCGTGCTAATCGGAAGGACAGCAAACTAAACACAAAAAGCAGTCTTCAAGAAATTAGTTTTCAGTCTAGATTTGAAAGTGCATAGCTCCGGTGGCTTTCCAAGATGTGGTATAATTTCAAAAGCGAAATTTTATGAAGACTCACTCCAAACCTCCTCCTCCCCCCCCACCGCCCGCCCCCTCCAAAAAATAAAAGGAATACCCTTGAAGAGGATTACCTGGAGCTATCTCTTCAACAGCGTGGCCAGAATTAGCATAATTTAGTCAGCTGCGTCTTATATACGCGGCTCAGCCGTGTGTGACTGTGCAATGGAACTCCACCCGGGCCAGTGTCCCAATTTCAACGAATGATGCGTCACGTGCAAGCTTTATGATGCGTTGTTTTGCGGGAACAAGGTCGAAAATTTTGGAGATTTTATTTTTTTACCCGATAATTAGGGTTATATAGGTCCCGGCAATGCTTGTCCGCTCTGCCGTTTACAACAGCCAAGGAACGCTATGGGAGAGCCCTTTTTGCAAAATCGTACAACGCGCCGGGTAAGCGTGTGCCATCAAGGAGGGGGGTGCGTGTCTGTGTGTGTGTGTGTGTGCCGGGAGGATGCTCTCGTAAAAGTGTTTATGTGTCCTGTTCGAGTTTCTGCCTCTGCAGAAATCGCTAAAGTATTAACGCGTGTGTTTGGTCTCGACGAAAACGCAATGGCTGCCGGTTAGTTAGAGGACGAAATATAAACTTGTTTTTCTGACCGCAGATGTTATTGAAATCAATGCACCCCGTGAGCTTTGAAGTTATCCAACTTCAAAGTTCATGAAGAACGGCCCTCAGCGCACGCAAATTGTAAAATCAAGTCAGTAATTCCGGAAACGTTTCTGTGTAACTGATGTCCGTTGTATCTGACTCATCCCATCCGGAGACGGGCCTCTTGTTTGTACAGCTGGGGGATACCCCATTACTTCACTCATTCGACGACTCTACCAATTTTCAGTTGGATTATTTAACTAATCGATGACTCTGCCGATTTTCACTTCTATTACCCCACTAACCAACACAGTTGGGGACATATCACCTCGATTCCGCATGCGCCACCGGACGGGAGACGATAGGCTGAGAGCCTGGTGACGTCATTGGCATTGGCTGGGGCGGCGCTTATCTGGGTTTCCCCGCTTTCAGGAGGCATCTTAGAATCAGAATCAGAAATCAGAATCAGAAATGGTTTTATTCGCCATGAAAGTTTGCACAGACAAGGAATTTACTATGGCAGGAAGGTGCATACATTCAACATGTAGGAATCTTTAAACTTACATAAGTGGTATACAGTCTAACTATACTAAAATTACAAAGTCTAACTAATACTGAGGGGCTAAAGTATGTCTGGCATGTTTGGAGAATGCTGTGTGTGTGCGTGGTGGTTTGTGCCCTGCTTTTTTTGCGCAGCGCCTGGTGCCCCAGTGGCATTTCAACGGCGCGGTGGGTCCCACGTTGTATAACCGTGAATCGTAATCTGTCGCCGGCAGACGCGGGACAACTATTCAACGATGTTCGATGACCGCCTCTCCTCCTTCGGCAATCAGCTGCCCGAGCAAGGCCTCAAGGTTGGTGTGCAGAGAGCCGCCTCGATGATCGCCGCTCTCACGATTGTGCCTCTTTGCGTGCAAATAAGCAAATAGATGTGTTCAGTTTTCGTTTTGTTGACAGACGGGAAAACATTGCAACGGTTTTTAAATTGAGTCATCTGTCCCGAATTGCGACACTCGGTCAACGTTAGTTTTCACGCGCGTACCGGCTGAAATGTTTTTCTATTATAGTGTTTGATTATTTGTTTGTTTTACAGCTTTGGCTTTCGCGACCAGTGTTATAAATCACAATTGATTTTTGGGGTCAGATCGCACGAGTAAAAAAAAATAATCAAACGCGTGTCGCAAGCCTGGCAGCTGCACGATGATGCCATGTTGTAACGATGGGCGAAACGTCCGCGCCCAGCTGTTAAACGCGCGAGTGGATCGCTCTCCAGCAACGCACACTCACCGGTGGTGGTGCTGCTGAAGCGGTCGATAAATTGGCACACTCCATCACGTGACGCCTTCATTTAATTGGCGGCGTCGGGCGGAGGAGAGTTTTTTTGTTGTCGATTTTATTTGAACTTTTTGTATATTTTGCATCTTGTTTGCGCCCAACTCTTTTGCCAGGCGGCGGTGGTGGCGCACGCCGGTAATCCCACAGTGACGTAGGCAGCGAGGGCTGGTAGATCGCGCGAGGTTTTGAAACTCCAATTCCTGTGGTCGTCGAGCTTCCATATATCCTGGCTCGCCGGGCAGAAGGCGGCAGAGCGAATATCCGGACTCCCATCGGTTGCATATTTACGTGATATAGTCTTGCAACCCTTTTGCCACTCCGATGATGTACGTCGACTTCATCGATTACCGAGGCTCCCACAAGGCCGTGCAGGAAGGGGCGTGCGTGGCACAGTTTGGCGCCAGATATTGTGGAGTGCGGTTGCATCGCTTGGGTTCTCTGCGGTGAGCGCAACGTCTTGACAAACGGTGGTGCTACTCCGCCTCTCTAAATAATTAACGCCGAACCGCTCGTGCGTTCCGAGATTCGGCGGTGAACGGGACACCCACCCACCCTGCAACTTGCAGACGTCTCGGGGTGGGAAAGGGTTCATGAGGCTCGTGCACCACTGCCAACGCAGCATCACCGGGTTCCATTACGACCGTAACGCCTGTAGATTAGCACAATTGGCTATGCAATGGCGCGAGAAAAGTTCAACATCCCTAGTCTCGCACAGAGACCAATAGAATCGCACAGACCCATAGACTCGCACAGAGACCCATAGACTCACACAGACCCATAGACTCGCACAGAGACCCATAGACTCGCACAGAGACCCATAGACTCACAGAGACCCATAGACTCGCACAGAGACCCATAGACTCACACAGAGACCCATAGACTCACAGAGACCCATAGACTCGCACAGAGACCCATAGAATCACACAGAGACCCATAGACTCGCACAGAGACCCCATAGAATCGCACAGAGACCCATAGACTCGCACAGAGACCCATTGAATCACACAGAGACCCATAGACTCACAGAGACCCATAGACTCACACAGACACATAGACTCGCACAGAGACCCCATAGACTCGCACAGAGACCCATAGACTCGCACAGCGACCCATAGACTCACACAGAGACCCATAGACTCACACAGAGACTCATAAACTAGCACAGAGACCCATAGACTCGCACAGAGACCCATAGGCTCGCACAGAGACCCATAGACTCACACAGAGACCCATAGACTCACACAGAGACCCATAGACTCACACAGAGACCCATAGACTCACACAGAGACCCATAGACTCACACAGAGACCCACAGACTCACACAGAGACCCATAGACTCGCACAGAGACCCCATAGACTCGCACAGAGACCCATAGACTCACACAGAAACCCATAGACTCACACAGAGACCCATAGACTCACACAGAGACCCACAGACTCGCACAGAGACCCATAGACTCACACAGAAACCCATAGACTCACACAGAGACCCATAGACTCACACAGAGACCCATAGACTCGCACAGAGACCCATAGACTCACACAGAGACCCACAGACTCACACAGAGACCCATAGACTCACACAGAGACCCACAGACTCACACAGAGACCCATAGACTCACACAGAGACCCATAGACTCACACAGAGACCCACAGACTCACACAGAGACCCATAGACTGTTGTCCTTCCCCCCCAACACCTCCGATCAGTGCAGTCGGCTACTTAACGGTCGCGAACGAAGTTCAGCACAAACCTTGCCGTGCCAAAACAAGTCGTCCTCGCTGGTAGCTCAGGAGCACGGAGGGCACCTCGCCTCTAAGGGGCGCTGTAGCTCCATGCTACGTGCCCTCCCCAGCTCGAGACGGAGTGACGTCACCGCCCGGACTAACAGAGGGGGGTGGGTGGGGGGCAGAGGTCGCAAACGGGTACCTTTTCCCTACCCGTACCCGTACCCTACCCGAAATGAGTGACAAACGGTTACTCACCAGTGACTCACGGCCTACCCGTACCCGTACCCGGCCGCACCAGGGTCGCAAACGGGTACCCGTACCCGGCCGGGTACGGGTAGCCGGGTATCGGGTAGGGTACGGGTATCGGGTACCCGGTTGCGACCTCTGGTGGGGGGGTTGGCCCTTATTTGGCGACGTTAAGACGTTGGCAGGCGTGCTAAGTGGGACTCAAGAAACTGAGAGAGAGAGAGAAAAGCCACACACTCCCACCACCGCCACCGCCCCCCCCGCCGTTGAATGAGCGGCCATGGAAGTAATTATGCAGCGACAGTGTGACGCACACAATGCCCTGTGTGTGAAGCGAGCTCGTCGCTATTTTAACATCTCGTTTAATAAAATATGAAGGAATGATAATGATGAACAGCTCTTTGTCATTTTATTGATGGCCCTCCACTGGAGGGGGCTCTAGAAAGCGTGACTCGTTTGGCCTACTCTTCCACGCTGGACAGTTTCCTTTTGAAGAGGTGGGAGTGCGCACAGTTTACGCCACCACACGCTAACTGCGGTGCAAACATTTTGTGCTGTTAGCTGGACGAGACGTGGCGTGGGGCGGTAGGAGCGGATTTAAGAAACGTGCCCCTCTGTTTTAACTGCCGTGTCGGGATTGCAAATCCGTTGTGCCCACCGCACAGGATGGCAGATTCCACACTTTATATGTATATATACTTAAAAAAGTAGTAACGTCAGTAATTCACCACGCATTTCAATGTTGTCGTTGGTTGAGTGATCGCATTCACCAATCTCCGTCTCGCTCTTTCTGACTGAACGGATAGTTTCAGCTCGGTCCTGTCACCGCGCCGTGAATGACAGATGGTGCCAAAGCCCCCACACACACACAGACACACGCACACACACGCACACACGCACACGCACACACGCACACGCACGCACACACACACACACAGACACACACACACAGACGCACACGCACACGCACACGCGCACACACACACACATGCACGCACACGCGCACACACACACACACATGCACACACGCACGCACACACACGCACACACACACACACGGACGTCTGCGGGAATTCAAGTGGGGTCTTGCCTCCTCCTCCGCTCCCCAACCTCCCACCACGACCCCACACTCCCACACGCCACTGCAGCGCCACCCCGAGCCCCAACAACATTCACACGTACAGACGAAGCCCTTTTGGCAGGCCACACTGCTCTATCTTGGCCTCTTCATCAACGCGTGGTACCCCCGGGGTTGTTTGGAGCATATTTCATCAGGCTGGTCAGTGCGGGTTAGTACTACTACTACTATTTTACCAGGTAGGGCCCACTGAGCTCTTTAGCTCTTTTTCACAAGCGACCTGGCCACAAATGATAGCTCAACGAGGTGGCTCATCATCATGTGGAAATTAATAGCAGCCAAATACGCTAAATGCACGTTGAGTCTAAATGTGGAGGGAAAAAGCGGAGGACCCGGAGAAATAATCCACGCGACCACGGGGAGAGAGAGAGACACGCAAACTCCAGGCATACAGGGATCGGGATCGAACCCACAACCTCCTGTATACCAGGCGAGGTAGTTAACATCTCACCACGGAGAGAGAGAGACATGCAAACCCCAAATCAGGGTCAGGATCGAACCCACGACCTCCTGTACACCAGGCGAGGTAGTTAACATCTCATCACGGAGACACGCAAACTCCAAATATGCAACAGGCGTCAGGGTCGGGATCGACCCCACGACTTCCTGTACACCAGGCGATGTAGTTAACATCTCACCACGGAGAGAGAGAGAGACACGCAAACTCCAAATCAGGGTCAGGATCGAACCCACGACCTCCTGTACACCAGGTGAGGTAGTTAACATCTCACCACGGAGACACGCAAACTCTAAATATGCAAGCAGGCGTCAGGGTCGAGATCGAACCCACGACCTCCTGTATACCAGGCGAGGTAGTTAACATCTTTGAAGACGGGATGTCCACGGCCGGTTCAGATATATCACCCGCCACTGATGTTAGCCATGGTCGGGAATCTAACAGAGGTCACTGGGTTCATTCGGGCATCGCTCCACCACCTTACTGTATACTCCTTGCACTTGCCCAAACAGATCTTGAATCCATCCATTCACCAGCCCTCCCACACAAACCATATGCAGCAAGTCTCTTCGTTTTCATGGTATCGGTGTCAATCCACTGCCGAATGAGGGCCTCCCCACGCCGTGCGGGCCGCGTAGATTATTTGAGCGCACTTCACCGCTCTGGTCCGGTGCGTGTCGGCGAAGGCGGGTCGCGTGGATGTGGGAGAGTAGAAGTGAAGTGAAAACTGTGGATCTCTTTTGCGCTGCCCTGGGGCTGCGCAAAACCCCGCACCTCGACATAGCCCCACAGCGGCGGCCTAGAACGACCTGCCCATCTACGCACTGTCGAGGCTTGAACCTGCCTAGCTTTCCGAGGTCAGGTGAGATTGAGCGCGTTCCGGGCGATTTTGGTCATCCAAGACCATTTGCCAGCGCTCGTTTTCAGAAAGTCCCTCCGTGGAATGTTTGGCAAAAAAATTTGCGCGTGATTTTTTTTGTTATATTTGTGTGACTAAATGACCCATAGCTTCCCGACCCATAAGAAGGGACAAAACAAATTGTACACCGACAGCTTCAGAAGCCGTTCTTGATGATACTGCCTTCTCTTTGACATCTTACCACCCCCTCCAGGCATCTTGGCTTACGTAAAAAGATGATCCCATCTACATCATTGGAACCTCATTTGCCAGTAAAAAATATGATAATTGGTTTTTTATCCTTCTATCTGGCAACAAAAAAGGTGTCAGTTTTGTTGCCAGATAAAAGGGTAAAAAACCAATTATCATGATCCCATCGGTGTGTGTGACCCACCAACTCTTAGAGTAGAATTAGTCATCTGCTTCTTCTGTCGACCGGCTGATTCCAATTTAACGTTCAGGTGGTCAAGCCAGATAAGCGCGCCAGGAATAGCGGAGCAGTGTATCGTCGCAGTGACGTCGCCTTCATATTTGTGGATCGGGCACGAAACGTTGTACGGTCTGTTCTGGATGACCACAGTCGCACCACTACTGGAGAGTTTTTTAATCTGTCTCGCGGACAGCTCGAACAAAAGCCACCATGAAACTTTCGATGGAAAGCATTTACACCATTGGAACCTCATTTGCCAGTGAAAAATATGATAATTGTTTTTTTTTACCCTTTTATCTGGCAACAAATCTGACACCTTTTTTTACTACAAGGAGTCATGTTTGCATAGACCACGTAATGACTGCAGGTATCGTGGTCTATGCAAAAATGACTCCTTGTAGTAAAAAAAAGGTGTCAGTTTTGTTGCCAGATAAAAGGGTAAAAAACCAATTATCATTCGATGGAAAGTTTTTTTTTAATCTATCAAAGACGCATTCAATTTAGTGGTGGCGTTCCGTGTGCCTGCGACCCCCCCCCCTTCCCCTAGGGTTACCTGGTGCCCGTGCAGCCGGAAGAGGAAGGCTGCCACATACTGAGCCCTCCGCCCAAGATGCACAACGCCACCTACTTCATCGCCCTCATCCGCAGGGGCGGCTGCAACTTTGACATCAAGGTCGGTCTCCTGGTGATGGGTGCCCCCCCCCCCGCGGTGACCTCGGTGAACCCCTTTGGTCGATGCACGTGACGGAGAGGCGGCCGAGGGAGAGAAACGCGTCCCAGGAGGGGGGGTTGACCGCCGCCGCGGAGACGGAACGATGGAATCGGTTGGTGTTTACGTGTGCAGGAGTGGGACGGGCTGTCGCAGCACCGGACCGACGGGCATGGGAGTAGAGGCTTTCATCCAGCAGTAGATAGACAACAAGTCCCGCTGAATGGTGATAAGTATGAACGTGGACCAGATTGTCCTCTGGACAGAATGGCAAAACCACGTCGTTAATATGCCTTTTAGAATCCACGGTCATTCCACTGCTGGATGAAGGCCTCCGAGACATCGCCATCTCGCACGCTCCAGTCAAGTAACAATCCTCTTGGTTCTTTCGGTAAAGTCACGTAGAAGGGAAGTAATAAAATAATAAAAATAAAACATAATAAAAAAATTGTTATTTTATTATTTTTAAACATAATAAAATATGTTTTATTTTTATTATTTTATTACTTCCCTTCTATGTGACTTTACCGAAAGAACCAAGAAGGTGAATCCCTGCAGTCACGAAAGCTTTAAATCGAAAAAAGTAACAATCCGTTTAATGCGCGCACGCGAGCCGAGTTGGCCCCGTCTAACTCGGCTCGTCTCCAGCGGTGGACGTCCCTTGAGTCCATCTTTCGAGTGCCACTCCCTCTTCCCGAGTCGACCCCAGTGTTTCTCCAACTCGTTTCGCCCCGCGGACCGCTCGCCCCGATGCCAACATTCCCGCAGGCTGCCCCCAAGGCCCTGGTGGTGACAAGACGCATTCAACTCTCTCTCTCTGTCTGAATGATGCCAGTGACACACAAAATGATTCATATTACCGGAACATTAAAGCGTTTTTATTTATTGAACGCAGCCATAAGGTTTAGGGGCGGGGTGGGGTGTGGGGGCATTTAGATGTTAGGGTATTTAAATTACGGTCAACATCACCTGTAACAAAATATTAATTAATGTCCGAAACCAAAGGTCATTATTGTCGGGATCAAACCGTTGCGTTTGCATCGCAGCCACCGCGGGACCACTTGGCGGTGGTGAGGAACCGCGCTCTTGAGAACCACTGGGCTAGACGCGTCCTGCCCCACGGCCACGTTTGCGCTTCTTCGCAATCATCGCGATGTCTCTCTCTGATTTTGCGCACGTTCACGAATCCGTGCGTTGCTCGGCGCGTCCGTCGGTGGAATTCCAAGCTTGCGCCTCTCCACGCTTCTTTCGCGCGCCCTTCAGCCTCTGTTGCATTTTCTTCGTCAGCCCGCGTGTGCCAAGGTGGCGAGATGTTATCTACCTCGCCGGGTATACAAGGAGGTCGTCGTGGGTTCGATCACGACCCTGACGCCTGTATATTTGGAGCTTGCATGTTCCCCCCTGTGGTCGCGTGTATTTCTCCCCGGGTCCTCCGTTTTGTCCCCCCACATTTAGAAACATGCCGTTGAGAGCATTTGGCTGCTATACATTTCCACGTTGATAATGCCGCTTCGTTGAGCTATCATTTGTGGCCCGGTCGCTTCTGAAAAAGAGCTGTATAGCTCAGTGGGGGGGGGTTAAAGTTCGGACATGGTGCAGAACAACACAGAGCGGGATACAACCCCTCCTGAGGTTCACAGCTCATCGGATTCCTCAAGGATAAATAAATATTCTGAATCGCAAAAAACATGCGCAGTGGTGAAAGTAAAGTGGAGGCCCGAAGAATGTCAACAGGTGCCTCCAGCGACTGCTCCCCCATCCTCCCCTCCATCACCACTTCCCCCTAGCCCCCCGCCCCACTAAAGACAAAGGTCCCCCGCACAGCCTTAACAGACTGTCGGGGCAAGTGCCGTTAGCGAGCAGCACCTATGAAGGCCGGCGCCGCACACGAGGGGGTGGGTGGCCAGCACCACGCCCGTCTGCCTTTTGTCTCCCCGGTGGCGATGATGTTACGCACCGCACCGGGTACTCATTTGAGGCCGAGTCCACCTAGGGGAGGCCCAGGACCGGTTCAGATGATCGTCACCGTGTGTTGGTGGCCGTGAGCGGGAATCGAACCCGGTTCGCTGGGTCCGTAGCACGCTAACCGCTACGCCACCGCTCCTACCCCACCCCCACAGCCCCCCACCCACACGCGCACGCGCTTATCCGCCGCAACAAGCACAGCACAGGGCCACTGTACACGCGCCCAAGCGGTTTTGTTATGCCAGAGGCACAACCGGTTACACGAGGCAGGGCACCTAACCTAAGTTGACGGATGTGTTTCTCCGTTGCGCCACCGCAGCGGCAGTGAATGGTTACGCCCCGGTTTAAACATGCGGCACAACCGTCCTTGTTACTCGCAACGTCGATGGCTTCGTCGTCGTCGTCGTCCTCCTCCTCCTCACACGTGTGACGAGTGACACGCTGATGGTGGTCTAGTGGTGTGCTAGTGCAGGTGTCGGCGACCAAAATATCAAGGAGAGATTTGAAGCTTTCGTGACTGCAAGGATTCATACTCTTAGTTTTTTCGGTCAAGTCATGTAGGTAAAAAATTAAATTGTTTTTTTTTCCATTTTTTACCTTCGTGACTTTACCAAAAAAAACTATCAAGGAGAGACATTTTTTTTGAATCCGCTAAAAAAAAAAAACCTCTCAATATTTCAAGAGCCGCAATGCAACGCGGTGAATACGAGACGGTGGTGCTCCTTAATAAAATAACGTCATAGGAAGCGGTCCTTAGAGAGCCCGCCGCGTGTGGCTCCGTAGCCGCGGGTTGCCGGCCCCTGCTCGCCTTTGTGGTTAGGAGGATTCGGCGCTCTCACCGCGGCGGTACGGGTTCCAATCCCAGGCAACGAGTCTTCCCCCGCACCTCCGATGAGCGCGGCTGGCTACGTACGGCACGAAAGACGTTCAGCGTGCTTATGTCCGTACGACGGACTCCCTTGCATGACTTTGACCCCCACGTGTTCCACCGGCGGTACAGCAGGAGGGGGTCTTGCCGAGAAACCCGGCGACCTCGCTGTCCCCTTGCGAGCGTTGTCCGACTGTCACCTGCCACCTGTTTACTCCCATGTGACAATAATCTTAATAGATGATGACAAACGTACATTTCTAAGGCGCACTAATAAGACCGGGAATGTGCCCCACCTCCAGACGGTCGCAGCAGCGCGTCTGGCAGCAGTGTGCCAGTCCACGGGTACTCTCTCTCTCTGCGTGATGAGTACGTGGGTTTCCGCGCGAGCCTGCGGGTCTCTGCCGATGTCTGTGCCGCGTTGAACTTAGCACAGACCGTGCAAATCGGAGGTGCGAATCTGGCGAGGCGAGCGGCATTTTAGTCATGAGGTGGCGGTCGGAATGCACGACGGGTTATTGCACGACATGGCGAACAGCGAAGGCTGGCGGGGAAATTGGAACAGCACACGCCGGTATTATTCACACCTCCCCCCCCTCCCTCCCATCATGCCTTGCATGCTTGACATGCGATCACCGACATTGCACGTTCATTGTGCTCTTCTCAGACTTGCCCCCCGCCGCCCCGAGGGTAGCGTGGTTAGTACGCGTCGCTGCACTGTACGTCCGCGACACCACACCCGTGCTTCCCGCCTGCGCCAGTCTGCACGGGCGAACGCGGTGAAGTCATAATCGCCACGACCCGCACGGCGCACCAGGGGGGCCCAGCCTCCCTCCATCATCTAGCAGTGGATGGAGAAATGGCCATACGCGTGGCAGTCCGTGTGTACGCACGTGCGTGCGTGCGTGTGTGTGCGCGTGTGCCGTATGCCGAACTTCTTTTCGCACCGCACGCAGCCAACCGTGCTCGTTCGGACGACTTAGAAATGTTCCGCAGTGTCGTTTTGAGTTTCTAGTTTGGCCAGTAGTTTCAATTACTTGCCCAGGGTTTTTCTTCCCCGCAGGAAGACAACGCTACACTGTACTCTGTACTGTACGTACGTCTGTGGTTCTCGTCCTGTTTGGCATCGCGCCCCCGTTCCCAACAACGATCGCAGGTCCCCGCGCTGCCCGCTGTGCCCCCCCCTCGCCCCCCCACTGGCCCCCCGCAAATTACTAAAGGCACTGCAAGATCTGACCGGTTGCCGAACGAACAACGCCGTCGTGAGGTCGCAATCGTTCCAAACGCAAAGTGCTTATTGCCGCAAATGAGCCCCCACAATGCCTCGCTGATCTCGTCGAAGGAGCGTAAACCATCGTAGCGCCAACTCCGGTCATTCTCGCAGCAGCAGCAGCGGCAGCGGCTTTTAGCTGCTGGCTGCATCACGCGCGGCGCTTTCAGATGCGCTTCTGCGGCCGTCTGGAACGCTCTTCTTTCCGATATCAAGAAGCCACTGGGAGCTATGCACTTTTAAATCATCGCCTAGATTGAAAACGAATTTCTTTAGAACCGCTTTTTTGTGCTTACTTTGTTTTCCTCACCCCGCACCGCCGATTAGCACGGTTGGCTACATACAGCGTGAAAGAAGCTATACACACATACACACAAGGCCTCAAGACTACACGGAGATCACGTGAGCACGCCTCGGGTCAACGCAAGCAGCATTTAGAAAGACACCCGTTTCATGTTGTGTACAAGCTTGTTTTGTAGCCGAAACTATAGAGCTGACGTTGCTGGCACGCATTCAAAAATGTTCCTGCACTGTATCCATGCTGCAGCCCCCCCCCCTCGTCCATTCCTGTCCCCCAAGGGCATTGAGAACCACTGCTAACACATTCCTGCGGAGGGAGCTGGTAGGAACGTTGGGTTGCTCGGTCAACGGCGGCGTGGTGTATTCCGCAAATATGCCCGACTGTGACAGCGGGCACAAGCCGGCGTGAGTAGGTTAAACGTTGAGTTTTATAAGGGCACCACGGGGTGACCAGCCCCTCCCCTCCCACCCCCCACCCAGCACCACCCTCTCCACCCAGCCCCTCCCCACCCTCCCCACCCAGCCCCTCCCCACCCTCCCCACCCAGCCCCTTGCCACCCTCCCCTCCCCACCCAGCCCCTCCCTCGCCACCCCTCCCCACCCAGCCCCTCCCTCCCCACCCAGCCCCTCCCTGCACGACGGTCACAATAATCCCCTGTGGGCTGGTGTTACCGAGAGGTTCCTACCAGTATAATTTTTTTCTTTTTCTGACCAACACCGATGAGATTGATGCTTCTGCTGCTGTCGCAATACCAGCAAGGTACCGGCAGGTGTCACCAAACGAGATTCCCCCCCCCTCATCCACTGCCAGCCGACAACTTCGCTGAAGTTCAGAGTCCATTTTGGCCAAAAAATTTTAGGCCACGCATTTTGCGTCTAAAAGGCCGTGAGAGGGATCCAACTCGCCCGCCCAAGCGTGTAATCCTATACTCACACTGAATCGGAACCGTGTTTGGGCTGGGTTCAAGTTCATTGATTAGGTGTAGCCCTGTGAGCCATTCAGCTCTTGAATCGGGTGCAACCGCAACAAACAAAAAACAACAACATGAACAAAAAACATCTTAAAGTGAATATGTGACTAAGTGCAAACAGAAAATCCAAGAAAAGACAGTAAAATATTGCAGAAAAAGCACCGCACACAAAAATGTGCAAAAATCCCAGTGGGATGCAAGTCAAACAACAACAACCACAAGACAACTTAGATTAAGGCCATCAGTCTAACTCTCTACTACAACAAACAAAACATGGCCAAACCAAAAAACTTAGCGAAAATCACCAAAATAAAGCCATGAAAGCAATGAAACAGTGGTCATAGGAACTGTGACCGAATTTTCACAATAAATGACGTAAACAACACGTACCACCAAACTCTGCAGTCATAGCTGGCTGCATGAGTCACTCCACAACAGTAGGAGCATCTACTGCTCCTACTCTTGTGGGGTGGGGGGGGGGCGATTGCTTGCGACTCTGAACTCAGTGGGTTTGTATTTACCCTCGGCAATTTGAATAAGAGCCCAGCCACTTTGCGTGACCCCGTTTAATCCCGTGTGGGTGGACCAATTCCCCGGACAGACCCGTTGGGAGGGGGACATGGGAGCGTTATCAATGAGCCGGCTATATTTTGTTAAGGATGTACACTTTCGATTTAAAGCTTTCGTGACTGCAGGGATTCATCTTCTTGGTTCTTTCGGTAAAGTCACGTAGAATGGAAATAATAAAAGACAGAGTCTGTCTTCTCGACAGACCTGTTCTACACCTGAGGACGGCTGCTTGCGTTGTGGCCGAAACGTCGTGAGAATTATTTTATTATGTTTTATTTTTATTATTTTATTATTTCCACTCTACGTGACTTTACCGAAAGAACCAAGAAGAAGGATGTACACTTTTGGTTTTGTTAAATGACGTGGGTCTTTGCAATTGTCAGACGTGTCTGAAAGTCGCCACGTTTATTGCGCGTCAGCGGCGTGTGTGTGTGTGTTCTCTACGGCTTACGAGCGGTGAACGTTGCGAATTTGTTTCTACATAGGTTGCGGTTAAGATTGTTCAACGTGAATTTGATATGTATCTAGGAATATTATCTTTGTTTGTAACCAGGCACTGTTGGTTGTGCCTCTGTTTTTTTTCTTTGTCATTCCCGTCATCCACAGCACTCTTCTTTACAACTTTTAAGCGGTCCCTAAGGTCTCGCCCCTGCCACCTAACGTACCTCGCCCGCTACCCACATTCCCTCGCTTCAGCTCCGTACCACATAACTAAACTCAAAACTAAAACTTTTTTTTTCACCAGGTAAGGCCCGCTGAGCTGTGTAACTCTTTTTCAGAAGCGACCTGGCCACAAATCGTAGCTCAGCGAAAGTGGCTTATCACGTGCACATTTCTAGCAGCCATGTGCTGTAAACGCGTGACGTTGATTCTAAATGGAGAGGGGAAAAACCGGAGGAGCCGGAGGAAAAAAAAATCCACACCAGCACGGAGAGAGAGAGACACCTCAAACTCCGAATATACAGCAGCAGGCGTCGGGACTGGGATCGAACCCACGACCTCCTGTATACCAGGCGAGGTAGTTAACATCTCCTAGCCACCGTGGCGTCGGGACTGGGATCGAACCCACGACCTCCCGTATACCAGGCGAGGTAGTTAACATCTCCTAGCCACCGTGGCGTCAGGGTCCAGGGATCGAACCCACGACCTCCCGTATACCAGGCGAAGTAGTTAACATCTCCTAGCCACCGTGGCGTCAGGGTCCAGGGATCGAACCCACGACCTCCTGTATACCAGGCGAGGTAGTTAACATCTAGCCACCGTGGCGTCAGGGTCCAGGGATCGAATCCACGACCTCCCGTATACCAGGCGAGGTAGTTAACATCTCCTAGCCACCGTGGCGTCAGGGTCCAGGGATCGAACCCACGACCTCCCGTATACCAGGCGAGGTAGTTAACATCTCCTAGCCACCGTGGCGTCAAGGTCCAGGGATCGAACCCACGACCTCCTGTATACCAGGCGAGGTAGTTAACATCTCCTAGCCACCGTGGTGTCAGGGTCCAGGGATCGAATCCACGACCTGTTGTATACCAGGCGAGGTAGTTAACATCTCCTAGCCACCGTGGCGTCAGGCGAGACGGCGCAATAAACTTGCGATGCCCCCCAGACTCATCCTGCACTTGTCTGCCCTCTCATAAGTGGGCTTTACCTGGTCAAATAAAAAAAATAGTTTACTTTTAATTGGGGGGAGGGGAGCTGAACCAAAAGGGAAAAGGCCAGGGGGGGAGGGGAGAGCAAAGAGACAGAGAAGGGGCAGGATTAAATAGAAAACAGGGCAACATAGACATAGAGTAGGGAGAGAGGGGGTAGAGAGAGAGGAGTGGTAGAGAGAGAGGGGGGGTAGAGAGAGGGGGGGGGTAAGAAGAAGGAGAGCAGAGCGTGAAATCTCTCGTGAAATCTTTCATTTCAACAGGGGAGGGGGCACATAAAGCAAAGCATTGAAAAAAAAACCAAAAAAAACTAAATGAAGAAACGAAGCAAAGTGGTGACTACACCGAGCATCTTCTTGTTTCTTCTGATCGTAAAAAAAAGAGAGGGGGAGGGAGGGAGGGAGGGAGGGAGAGGGAGGGAGGGAGGGAGAGGGAGGGAGGGTGGGAGTGAGGGAGGGAGGAAGGGAGAGCGGGAGGGGGGGAGGGTTGGAGGGAGGGAGGAAGGGAGAGAGGGAGGGAGAGGGAGGGTGGGAGAGGGAGGGAGGGAAGAACTCCTCCAGAGTGATGAAGCTCACACTTGTCGGGGCCCCGTATCTTGCACATGAAGGGCCTTATTGTCAGTCGACAGCTGGATGAGGGCCTGCCCGTGGCCGTGTGCGGGTCACGGGGGGTTACTTGTGACCGAACTTAGCAAATCCGTGTGAATCGATGCATTGTCGCGCTTCTGATTAAAGAAGAGAAGTTTTTTTATTTCCCCCCTCCAGGCGCATTGGTATGTTGCCGTGGCTTTTTTATTTTTTAACGCAGGCTTTATTTAATAATAATAAAACAAAGACTTGAGCAAATGGACGTGTACATGTGCCGCGGTGGCGAGATGTTAACTCCCTCGCCTGGTGTGCAGGAGGTCGTGGGTGAGATCTCGACCCTGACGCCTGCTGCTGTATATTTGGTGTTGCGTGTCTCTCCCCGTTGTCGCGTGGATTTTTCTCCGGGTCCCCCCAGTTTTTCCCTCCACATTTAGAATAATATGTTTTAGAGTATTTGGCTGCTGTAAATTTCCACATGCACTGGTTTTTGTGCAATCTTTGGTGGTGGGGCTGGCCATTGAACAAAGACGGTGGTGGTCACCGCATCGCGCGCTTTCAGATGCGCTTCTGCGACCGTCGGGAAAGCTCTTCCTTCCGATATTAGGATGCCATCTGAGCTATGCACTTTTAAATCTTAGATTAAACACTCATTTGTTTAGAACCTCTTTTTGTGTTTAGTTTGTTGTCCGTCCCCCGTGCCTACGGCCAGTGTCGTCGACTACCTACGGTGCGAAAGAAGTTCAACATGCCTACATCAACTCGCTCACTGCGCTTGAGAACTCGGTTAGATCACGAGTGGTGGAAGAAGCCTGGATTCACAGCCAAGCTCTTGGCGGTGGGAGCTCGACTCCGCGTTATGGAAACCCTAACCGGGCCACTCTACGTCTCTCTCTCCGTCTTTTCCTCCGTCTCTCCGTCCGTCTCTCCGTCTCTCTCCATCTCTTTTTTTTTACGATCAGTGGAAACAAGAAGATGCTCGGTGTAGTCGGCACTTTGCTTGGTTCATCATTTCGTAATTTTTTTTTTACTTTGCTTTATGTAAACCCCCCACCTCTCACTCACTCTCTCGCTCACTCTCTAGCTCACTCTCTCGCTCACTCTCTAGCTCACTCACTCGCTCACTCTCTCGCTCACTCTCTCGCTCACTCGCTCACTCTCTCGCTCTCTCTCGTTCTGCACGCAGCCCTTCTCGCAGTCCGATGGCCTCCGACGGGTAGCTCATAACTGCACGCAGAGCTCCCCGTCATCTGCCACCGAGCACACGGCCTCCTCCATCGCCCACTGCTCCTTGAAGGCCGGCACGGCGTGGGTCAGCCGCGCACGGCGGAACTCCAGCCACACACCCTGGCTCCATCTCTACTTCTCCCACCTCTCTCTTTCTCTGTCTCCCAACAGGTGCTGCGAGCCCAGGAGGCCGGCTACAAGGCTGCCATCGTGCACAACATCAACTCGGAGCAGCTGGTCACCATGTCATCCGACGACGGTACGCGCCTGCACGCGCTTCCGCTCGTCAACGCTTGCGCCCGGGATTAGCGCCGTCTCGCGCGTCGGGAGGAGGGAGCCGTGGGGGGGGGGGGGGGGGTAATTGGGGGCGAGAGGGAGGGGGTGGAGGGTTTGAGCCAACGGGGTCTGTCTGCTCGACGCACATGTACACATGCACAGACCTTTCGCCAATCTTACTGCTGGACGGAGGCCTACCCACGCTGTGTGGGTACTGGGGGGTTGTTTGACCGTCTGTTAATATGTTGAGCTTCTTTTGTCAAGGCAAGTGTCGCTGACAAAGGCGGGCATGCCTAGATGTTATAGGTTGTGACTGACTAGCAAATGTATGTTGAACTATTTACGCCCTGTTAATTAGCCAACCGTGCTAATCGGAGGTGCGGGGGAAGGATGACAAACTAAACACAAGAAGCAGTTTTAATCTCGATTTAAAAGTGCAAAGCTCCCAGTGGGTTCCTAATACCGAAAGGAAGAGCGTTCCAGACGGTCGCGGGTTAGCAAAGACGTTGGAGCATAGAAGTACAGTATAACGATGGATTTTTCCGCACTGCACCACGATGTGGCCGCACAGCCCTACAGCAGCAGCTGTTACGCACGCGCGGTGATCGCTCCACCATACACCACTGTCCAGGCTCAAACCGGCTTGGCTTCCACGTGACGTCGTGTCAATAAAGGACTCGGTTAGATATAATCCGGGACGCCACGTTGTCGGTTCTGCGATGTTTTTAGACATTCTAAATTTGACGTGATCATTTTTAGTTCGGTAGGATTGCTGCAACGGGCCGAAAAGACCCTGAAACTCGGATACTTTGAAAGCGCCTTATTTAGCAGCAGCGAGCGGTCGCTTAACGAACTTCCCCCATCTACCAAGCCACCTTTCAAGGAGCAGCTGTTTCCTATTTACTTTTTTTTGGAACGACCCATACCGTCGAGGTGGTGGGGTGGGGGGGGGTGCTATCAGGCTTTGCGCGTGTCCTCAGGATATTGTCCATAGCTCCTGCTGCTGCCTTGAGTATCGTGAGCTGGGTCAGGGGTTGGAGGGGTGCAAATGTGCGTAGCCTTTTATGGGGTGGCTGGGAGCACGCGCGCTCAAGCAGCTGTTTGAGCGCGCAGCAATGCAGCCTGGGGATTATTTTACCAGAAGTTTTTTTTTTATTGAAGAGGAAAAAGACAACTTAGGGGGACGGTACAGCGTACGGTCAGACGCAGTAGAGATGGGTGGAACGCGAGGGGTACGTGTGTGTGGTTTTTATTTTTTCAGACCGTACGTAGATAATCGTGCTAATCGGAGGTGCGAGGCAGGACAGCAAACCTAACACACGAAAATCAGTTTCTAAAGAAATGACTTTTCAATCTAGATGATTTAAAAGTGCATAGCTCCGGTTGGTGTCCTAATATCGTGAAGGAAGAGCGTTCCAGACGGCCAGCCAGAAGCCGCTACGAGCAAGCGTAACGGAGGAACACCAAGAGGCCGAGTTTGGGTCCCACACAGGAGGGTTAATAGTTGCGTACCGATGTATGTTGACCTTATGAGTGGGAGAGACGCAGTGGAAGAGGGGGTGATGCTTTGAGGAGCGGCGTTGTTTGGTGGCAGGCAAATGAAAGGGTGTGGTAGTGTGCGTTGAAAGGGTGTGGTTGTGTGCATTACGGAGGTCGGGTGACTCCACTGAGCTGGTGGTGGTAATCGGTGAGCGCGTGTCGATCGAGTGAGGGTATATCTGGAGGGGCAACTACGAGGAAGGGGATGTGTCATCGGTGGGAGAGCGTGGGTGCGCGACGTGCGGTGGCGCGCGCCGCAAAGCAACGATTCGTGCAACCCGGGGCGGGATGGTAAAGCCGCGGGGGGGGGGGCACCATGAAACGCACGTGGAATTGACACTCAAGTTACAGCCGGAACACCGACACAGGGCATCCGGAAGTGGTTTAATCGTCGGGGGTTTCATGGACTTGCGTGAACGAGATGGAAAAAAAACTAAATGCTGTTTTTTCGCACGACGGGCAGATGGCTCGGGGGGGGGGGGGGGGGGGGTCGGGGCACGGTGCCGCCACAGTTGAGGGCCTGGGTTCGAATCTGGGTATCAGCCGCACGTGACCGAACGTGGATCTCAAGAGCAGAGGTCGCAACCGGGTACCTGATACCCATACCCTACCCGATACCAGGGTCGCAAACGGGTAGCCGTTTGCGACCCTGGTGCGGCCGGGTATGAGTACGGGTAGGCCGTGAGTCACTGGTGAGTAGCCGTTTGTCACTCATTTCGGGTAGGGTACGGGTAGGGAATGGGTACCTGTACCCGTAACCGGCCGGGTACGGGTACAGGTACCCATTTGCGACCCTGGTGCGGCCGGGTACGGGTACGGGTAAGGAATCAAAACCCGTTTTCGACCTCTTATCAAGAGTGGCCGGTTGATGTTCTCGAACGATTGACACAAAAAAAAAATTGTCGAGTTACGTTTGTTTTGGTTTTAATTCGTTGAATTTCTTGCTGTGCTAATGGAAAAATATAGTATGAAAAAAGTAAGAATAGGTTTTACCCTTTCTGGCAATTAAACAGGTGTTAAGATGTTCAAACACCAAATAGAAAAATTTTTCAAGGTGTTTGAACATCTTAACACCTCCTATTTTATCGCCAAAAAGGGTGAAACCTATTCTTATTTTTTCATACTTTAATACTGGCAAAATGGTCTCATTAAAAACAAAAATGTGGTTTTTAACTGCCCGCAATGGACGTTCCTCACGAGCAATCATCATGCCTGATAAAGTGAAGGTATTTTCTGAAGTAGTTCCACGACATATCCTTACACGGGCCGTTATGTAAAACACACGGTTACGCTGTTCTGCGAGCGTTCCTAACGGACGCTACGTCGCATGACACGATGGCGATATCACCACACTTGGAATAAAATTAAATATTTGTTTAACCACCCCCCCCCCCCCCCCCCCGCAAGGCTTACATTTTACCCCAAGACAGAACGGATCAGCATTCCGTCGTCGCTGTCGTTTCATTCGTCGACGATAGCGGGTGGCCCGACTAGGAGCAGGAGGGGGAAGGGTGGGTAGCGAGTGGGGGAGCGACACTCGCCCGCTCGATGGAGGACAGGTGCCGCTCGGAGCCAGCGTTTGAACAGCTGCTCGACTGTAATTGGTGTCCCCGGCTATCGACTGGGCCGTTGCCGTATTGTCCGCGTGCTCAAAGCCGTCGACCCCCTCGCACCCCCGCCCAGCCCGCCCGCCTCTCGCGCTTCCGCCGTGGGGGGGATATCGGGTGTGTGTGCCCCCTTGCGCCCCTCTGGATAATCTCTGGCAGGGCGAATGCGGAACAGGAAAGGTCTCTCCTGTTGCATCGTGCCGCCCACGCCATTCTGAACCGAACTAAAAAAAAATGTGTTTTACCAGGCAAGGCCCACTGAGCCATACGGCTCTTTTTCAGGAGTGACCTGGCCACCAACGATAGCTCAGCGAAGTGGCTTATCACGTGGACATTTATGGCGGACAAATACTCTTGACGCATGCTTCTAAACGTGGAGGAAAAACCCAGAGGACTCAGAGAAAAATCGACGCGACCTCCTGTATACCAGGCGAGGTAGTTAACATCTCCTAGCCACCGCTGCGTTTGTTGTTCATGAAGCTTCGTGCAAGGTCCCAAGTTGACGGCGTAGAGACCCTCCACGCGCGGGTTGTCTGGTCGCACGCACGCAGAGCCGTTTTGTTGATCCGCTGCTGGATGACAGCCTCGCCACGCCGTTGCGAGGCCGTGAGAATGTTTGAGCAGGTTTCTGCGTGCACACAGATCGGCGCGCGCGCGCGGGTGGGGACCGTTTGGTGAAGGCGGAGAGCGTAGACGTTTTTTAATTGGTAGGAACCTCCTGGTTACACCAACCCACAGGGGATTATTGTGTCAGTCCGTTGTGCAGGGAGGGGCTGGGTGGGGAGGGAGGGGCTGGGTGGGGAGGGGAGGGTGGGGAGGGGCTGGGTGCGGAGGTTGGGGCTGGGTGGGGAGGGAAGGGTGGAGAGGGGCTGGATGGGGAGGGTGGGGAGGGGCTGGGTGGGGAGGGTGGGGAGGGGCTGGTCACCCCGTGGTGCCCTTATAAAACTCAACGTTTAACCTACTCACGCCGGCTTGTGCCCGCCCTCAGTCGGGCATATTTGTGGAATACACCACGCCGCCGTTGACCCTGGCCATTGACCGAGCAACCCAACGTTCCTACCAGCTCCCTCCGCAGGACAATGTGTTTATTATTCAGGTCCGTTGGCCGATCCACCCTCCTAGCAACATGTCCTGCCCAAGCCCGCTTGCTATTCTGAACAGTGAGAATGATGTCATTGACCTGAATGTTTTCTAATCCACGTGTTCCACTTTCCGTCTCTCTGTGCAATGACAATCATGCAATATCCATGCACACCTTGAAGATTTTGGTCCGTATTGTTCGGTCGTGACCAAGTTTCTTAACCATATGTTCATGATTATTCTTCACTACTCGCTGAAGGTTTTTTCATATGCCGTATCACGGGGAATATTTTGACTATACTTCACCGCACTTTTCATTGTGGGCCATTTGTTTAAAATAAAAGTACATGTATAATGTTAACAATGTAACGTGATGTTTTATTATATTATGCAATTATTAATATATCAAAATAAATTATTACGCTTACGATTCGTGCGTTAAAAATAGTGTGTAATTTATGTTCAACTGCTATCTTGGGCTTATAGAGAGTCGGAACAATACAGAAGATATGGCAAGGCCCCCACCGCTTTTTCGCTCCACATTTAGAATCAACGTCACGCGTTTAGAATATTTGGCTGCTATAAATTTCCATATCATAAGCCACTTGGTTGAGCCTATAATTTGTGGCCACGCCGCGTTTTAAAAACGAGCTATTACAGCTCAGTGGGCGTTACCTGGTTAAATAAAAAATTGTTTAGTCTTAGCTTGTTTTGAGTGTCTTCTCGAATGCTTTACGCGCGGTTTAATTATACCCGTGGTCGTTTGTTCTGCCCGTTGTCTTGCAGTGACCATCTTCAGACAGATAATAATTCCATCGGTGTTCGTTGGCGAGACAGCGGGCCTACTCCTGAAGACCTACTACTCTTACAGCGATAAGTGCGTCCTACCAACAACAACAAAAACCCCCTTCATTGCCCTTCCGTCGGTTTACGCACCGTTCGCTCAACGCGTCTCGACGGTCAGAATCGCCGTGGCGAGAAACGCGCCGCCGCCTGCTGCGTGCGTGGGACCTACTTATTGCGCTGCGTGGCACCGCAGGGCACGCGAAGGGATGTCGGTGGTGGCTCTGTGGTGTCCACTTCCACGGGCTGTTCTTTCACGCCATAGGGGTTGCGCTGCTCTGCTCTGCGATCCGCACGGATTCGGTGTCACGTGACGTGACGGCGCTAGCGATCGGGATCAGCTTGGGGGGGAAGAAAAAGACTTAATAAACGTTTAAAAGTTTGAATGGGTTATGTTAGATTGTGGTGCTGTTGGGGTAGGTTCTCGACTGACACGACAAGTCGGTTGAGTGAGGTGAGGGACTTGGCTATACGTGTGTCTTGGTGTGACATGGTGACCCCGTGATGTCACAAAGGGTTCAGACCATCGAAGAGTGATGTCATCTCGGGGCACGTGGTAGAAATATCTGTCAATGCAAGGGCCTCTTGTACGTATGTTGGATGTACGTATGTTGTATGTTGGATGTACGTAGCCAACCGTGCTGTTCGGAGGTGCGGGGGAAATGACACAAAAGGCAGTTGTAAAGAATTGAGTTTGTCAATCTGGATAATTTAAAAATGCATAGCGCCAGTGGCTTCCTAGTATCGGACGGAAGAGTGTTCCAGACGGCCGCAGAAGCACACCTGAAAGCCCCCCCCCCCTCCCTCCCATGACCGAGGCGCGTTTGCGTGTTGCCGTGCGCTTTGCGCAGCTAATGCCGCACGTGAAAGTTCTCGGTCAGAAAGACAACAACAACAACAACGGTTCCCTCGCCCCTTGTTTAAAGAGTCCCCGACGAGAGTTTTCTCAAGCCACCCCCCCCCCCCCCCCTCGGGTTCGCCGTGAGCTCACCGGTGAGAACCTCCGGTGCGGCCGCGTCTTTAGCGGCGAGCGCCAGCAAGCGCAACCGCCGCGCGGCGGCACGTTGTCGTTATTCCCAGGAAAGCGACGAGCGTCGTCGGCCGACGGGAAACCACCCAAGGCTACTCACTCCCATTGTACTCCCCGCAGGTCACCCCGTTGTTTGTCGTGGTTCAGCGATAGTTTTTAAGCCCGTGCGTGTTTTTTTTTGGGGGATTTAATAATGAAATAACGCTCGCTTGCAAGCGTCCGGGCGGGAGAGAGCGGAAATAACTCGCGGCGAGTCGGCTTTCCTAACGGACACGGGTGACCGTGCATCCGGAAGGGACCCCGATTTAACACATTTCTGCAATCGGCGTTTCCAGCGTAAATGTATATATGCCTACGGTGACTGGGCCTTAAGTCAAAATTTAACCGCCTCTACGGGGAGGGTTTATGGGTACAAACTCGGCAATCACTGGAAGGACGTTATCCACCAGTTCAAGTCATAACTGGCTGTTATGTTCATTTTCTATCTACGTAACTTTACCGAAAGAACCAACTAATATTATTATTATTTCACCAGGTAAAGCCCACTGAGGCAAGGACGGACAAAGTTTAGTTTATTGATCGGCTAACGTAAAGTCTCGGCTAAATCGCCTTGTCCACAATGTTGTCCTGTTGTATATACAGGGTGCTTCAACAAATGTTAACAACTAACATGCCACTATCGTTTTTAATGGGAAAAGAACGGACAATGCACTGTAACATGGTCACAAATGTAATGTTTAATAGCTACAAAAAGTCAAAGAGCCTCCACTTGTCTGCCATCATTGTCAACGCACGCCTGGAACCCTCTTCAGATGGTCTTCAGAGCCCGGCACATTTGCTGTGGTATTGTTGAAAATTATCAGAAGTTTCGATTTAAAGCTTTCGTGACTGCAGGGATTCATCTTCTTGGTTCTTTCGGTAAAGTCACGTAGAAGGGAAGTAATAAAATAATAAAAATAAAACATAATAAAATAATTCTCACGACTTTTCGGCCACAACGCAAGCAGCCGTCCTCCCCCCCCCTCCCCCCTCCCTCGCCCTCCTCGTCGCGCCGTGTGGTCAAGCAACCCCGCAGTGTCGAACGTGGCCAGTGCCCGGATTATCCTCGGATCAAAATTAGCAACAAATGCTGCGGGGTCCCGCACTCTCAAGGGCCCCGCGCTAAATGCTTTCAATCTATCAATTCCGGTTCAGTGATTCTGCACTTGCTCTATTACTATAGTACTATACCGCTTTCAACTTTTATGAACGGCTGGGTGTTTAAGGTGTAGCGATTTGTCATATTATCTGGCTGTATAGCAAATGGAAAAATACAATTACTTTACTATGCAAGTAAAAAATGTGTGTTTTGATATTTATGTTTTTATTTATTTAGGGCCCCTTTATAATAACATCGTGCTACAGGCCCCGCACCAGCTTAATCCGGCACTGGACGTGGCGAGTTATTTTTGGAAATGCGTTTTGTTGTGCATCCCCCCCCCACACCTCCGACTAGTCGCCGGTTGGTGTTTGCTCGCTTAATTGTTATTTGTTTTGAGTGAAATTACATCTGCACCACCGATGTGTCACCTGCCCGGTAAGGTCGGGCTGTGTGTGTGTGCGTGCGCGATGGGGGCCCAGTCTGACACAGCTGGAGGATCGTAGAAAATGGGGGAGGGAGGGGGACGATATCCTTGCCTCACTCTGACGAGGACTTGCGAATAGCTGCGGCAGGCCACACGTTAACCCCATTCCCACAGTGGCGAGATGTTGACTACCTCGCCTGGTATGCAGGAGGTCGTGGGTTCGATCCCGATCCTGACGCCTGCTGCTGTATATTTGGAGTTTGCGTGTCTCTCTCTCTCATCATCATCACGGTGGCTAGGAGATGTTAACTACCTCGTCTGGTGTACAGGAGGTCGTGGGTTCGATCCCGACCCTGACGCCTGCTGCTGAATATATGGAGTTTGCGTGTCTCTCTCTCATCATCATCACGGTGGCTAGGAGATGTTAACTACCTCGCCTGGTGTACAGGAGGTCGTGGGTTCGATCCCGATCCTGACGCCTGCTGCTGCTGCTGTATATTTGGAGTTTGCATGTTCTCGCTGTGGTCGCGTGGATTTTTCTCCCCCGGTTTTTCTCACCACATTTTTGAAACATGTGTTTTTTGAGTGTTTGGCTGCTGTAAATTTCCACGTGATGATATGCCACTTCGCTGAGCTATCATTTGTGGCCAGGTCACTTCTGAAAAAGAGCTACATAGCTTAGTGGGCCTTACCTGGTAAAATACAAAATAGTTTGAACTTCTTTCGCACCGTACGTAGCCAACCGTGCTAATCAGAGGTGCGGGGGAAGGACAACAAACTAAACACAAAAAGCAGCTCTAAGGAGAAACGAGTTTTCAATCTGGATGATTTAAAACTCCAGTGGCTTCCTAATATCGGTAGAGCGTTCCAGACGCCCGCAGAAGCGCACCCTAAAGCGCCCTTGAACGTCTTTGCTCCACGGCTCGCCAAAAGCCGCCGCCGCTGCTGCAAGGATGACCGGAGGTTCGCGCGACGACGGCGTACGCTCCCTGACGACATCGGCGAAGTTCCCGCGGTTCGTCTGCGGCAAGCGCTCTGCGCTGCGTGAAACGAGCGCGACCTCGTAACGCGTTCGTTCGGCGACCGCAAATTAGCCCGACGCGTCGCGGTGGCTCGTGCTTGCGAGCGTCGTCCATCCGTCCGCCGCGAGGCCACCCCCCCGTTGAACTCGGCCCGCATGCTGTACCCCCCTTCCTCTCCGTCCGTCCGACCCTGGCAGTGCCGTCGTATTCCTGGGAGCCAAGGACCCCTTCTCGCTGGAGTACCTCTTCATCCCGTTCCTTGTCATCGTCGGCCTGTGCCTCGTGATCCTGCTCGTGTTCGGGGTACGTGGCGTGCCGGCGCGTGGCTCCCCGACTCACAACGTTTGTTCTAGATTTGAATCTTTCGTGACTGCGAGGATTCATGCGCTTAGGTTTTTTCGGTAAAGTCGCGTAGGTAAAAAATAAAATTAAAAGTTAATAATGGAAATACAATAAAATAATACATCATTATTAACTTTTAATTTTATTTTTCACAACGTTTGCTCACCTGGGTGGGGGGAGGGGGTTGGTGGGGGGCTGGAAGTAGTCGATAGTTCAATGTTAATGCGCCATGTTATTGAGCGGCTCCTGCTGTGTGTTATCTTGGTGTGGCATGGGACTGTTGTGCTTTTTCTGCCTCGCCCAATATTGATCAATCGGACATATATATATTATTAATTATTATTTGAAGCTCATATTTAGTCACTTGCTTCCCGTTTTCTCTATTTTGCCACTCCTATCGTGGTTTTATTTTGTACGTATTGCTTGCTGTCGTTAAACTGCTGACACCCCCCCCCCCCACCTCCGTCCATACTGGGACACCTTTGAAACAGAGCTTCATAGCTCATCGGATTTCCTCCTCCTGCAGTCGCGATGAAGATTCTGATTCTGGTCGTGACGAGCTGCCCCCCTCTCTCCCCCACCCCCGCGCGTCGCCGCTGCCCCCCCCCCTCCCCCCCGCAGGTGGCGCGTTGCGTGCGTGAGCGCCGGCGAGCTCGCAGGAACCGGCTGAGCAAGCGGCAGCTCAAGAAGATCCCCATGCACCGCTTCGAAAAAGGTCACTCGCACCGCCCCGCCGCTCATCACCCCTCCTAACCTCCCTCCTCCTCCTCACCCCCCCCCTCCTCACCTCGCCCCTCCTCACCCCGTTCCTCCTCACCCCTTCCTCACTCCGCCCCTCCCCGCCCCTCTTCACCCCGCCCCTCCCCACCCCACCCCGCCCCTCCTCACCTCGCCCCTCCTCACCCCGCCCCTCCTCACCCCTTCCTCACCCCGCCCCTCCCCACCCCACCCCGCCCCTCCTCACCCCGCCCCTCCTCACCCCGCCCCTCCTCACCCCGCCCCTCCTCACCCCGCCCCTCCTCACCGCTCCCCTCCTCACCACCCGCCCCTCCTCACCCCCCCTTCACCCCACCCCTCACCTCTCCCCTCCTCACCCACCCTTCCTCACCCCGCCCCTCCTCACCCCGCCCCTCCTCACCCCGCCCCTCCTCACCCCGCCCCTCCTCACCCCGCCCCTCCTCATTCCGCCCCTCCTCATTCCGCCCCTCACCACCCCGCCCCTCCTCACCCCGCCCCTCCTCACCCCGCCCCTCCTCACCCCGCCCCTCCTCACCCCGCCCCTCCTCATTCCGCCCCTCACCACCCCGCCCCTCCTCACCCCGCCCCTCCTCACTCCGCCCCTCCTCACCCCGCCCCTCACCACCCCGCCCTTCCTCACCCCGCCCCTCCTCACCCCGCCCCTCCTCACCCCGCCCCTCCTCACCCCGCCCCTCCTCACCCCGCCCCTCCTCACCCCGCCCCTCCTCACCCCGCCCCTCCTCACCCCGCCCTTCCTCACCCCAAGAAAGAGCTATGTAGGTCAGCGGGCCTTACCTGGTAAAATAAAAAAATTGCTTTAAATAGTTCGTTTAAGGATTATTGTAAACCTAACAAACAATGTGTGTGTAACAGCCGTTAACGAAACGCACGTGATAAACAATACAAAAAAAACCGTGCAAACACAATATGAGTGCAAGAGGGTGCCAGAGAGAGAGTTAGGTACAGATGCAAGGTGGAAAAAATATTAAGTGCCCTCTTTGAGTGCGACAAAGATGCTTGCAGTGCCCGGATAAATATGTTTCGCGGACCATTCGCTAGTGGCAGGCCTCTAATGCGGCCACTGGCCGTATGAAATGAAGCCTGGCCTGTAGGCCGTAGGTTCTCTCAACCCTGTGCCTTGTTGTTGTTGTTGTGTCAAGCGGACGGCTATGTCACGTATGTGGATGTACGTATATATGTTTGAACTTATTTCGCGCCATACGTAGCCAACCGTACTAATCAGCGGTGCCGGATGACTGCACGCAAAGTCCCCAATTTATTTTAACTCATGCTCAAGAGCTGTGAATGGCCAGCGTGTTTTCTACGGTTTGTTTACTTTACCCCCCCTCCCCCCCCCTCCGAATATGTTCAGCTTGTGCCACCAGCATCATGTCATGAAACAACAAAAAAATTCCACTCGCAGCTGTAGCAGCTGGCAGTGTACCACCCTGTGTCATGGAATTACCTCTGAAACAACTTCAGTTATCCAGAACAGAGACACGTGATCGGCTCGATTGTTTTTTTTACCGTTGCTTACATTCACGATCATGTAATAACAGTCTGTCGGGGGTGGGGCAGCTCATGCATGCGATTGTGTGTGTGTTTGTGCGCATTTGTGCGCACGCTTGTGTGAGCGCAAGTGCTCGAGTGTGGATTGTATCAATTTGTAACATTTGCAAAGGGCATTCCGTCCAGCAACACTCGCCACGTTCGCACACAGTCGGTCCTGTTCGTCTTATTCAGCCGAGCCTGTCCAGGAACCCTCGCCCTCACTTGTAATGTTTTTTGGCGCGCGGTACGCATTCACCGCAGATCGCTCGTTTGGCCAAGTCACGGCAAACAGTGACTCACTGTTGCAGAGAACACTGCCCCCGTGACCTTTCGTATCGGCAACACGACCAGACAGGGATGCCCGCGCGTTTCACCGACGCACTCCTCCCGTCTGCACGCCGTCTCCCGATCGTCGATGTCGGTATCGTTCGGCACGCCACTCAAGCTGCGCGGTAAATAGCGGGAGGCCTCGTCTGAGGGACGGATCCCAGGAAGAAGCCTGCGACTCGTCACTTGACAGGACGAACCTTCCCCTCGGGGAGACATTAGCCAGGGCAAACCGGGGGCGGCACCGGGTTCGCGCGGCCAAAAATCGCCCGCGCGTCACCCGCTTGGCACGCGGTTTGCGCCCGCCGTTTGGCAACGTGTTTCTGTCCGCGTGCCACGAGTTCCTCCTACGCCGGAACAAAAAAAAAGTGCTCTGTAAGTGTTTCGGCCAAACACCCTTCTGGACGACACCCTCCGAGCACAGGCCCGAGAATCGCGCGGAGCCTTCACTCGCCGGCCGTCTGGAACGCTCTTGCTTCCGATATCAGAAAGCCACCGGAGCTACGCACTTTGAAATCCTCTCGGTTGAAAACTCATTTCTTTAGAACTGCTTTTTGTGTTCAGTTTGTTGTCCTTCCCCCCGCACCTCCGATTATCACGGTTGGCTGCGATAAGTGCAGAAGAAGTATGGCCAAATCTCCTAGAGTTCGCCCGATTTAAGAAAAAATCTCAGAAGCTAAGCGGGTTTGAGCCTGTATAGTACTGTGATTGGCTGTCACCATGGAGACGAGGGTGCCAAGCCGCTGCACGGCTATTTTGTGGGCAGAAAGGGGAATTGCGCATCAATATGGGGCGCCACAGTGGCTATGAGAAGTTAACTCCCTCACCTGGTATGCTGGATGCAGTGGGTTCTATCCCGACTCTGACGCCTGCTGTATATTTGGAGTTTGCGTGTCTCTCTCTCTCTCATCATCATCACGGTGGCTAGGAGATGTTAACTACCTCGCCTGGTATGCAGGAGGCCGTGGGTTCGATCCCGACTCTGACGCCTGCTGCTGTATATTTGGAGTTTGCGTGTCTCTCTCTCTCATCATCATCACGGTGGCTAGGAGATGTTAACTCCCTCGCCTGGTATGCAGGAGGCCGTGGGTTCGATCCCGACTCTGACGCCTGCTGTATATTTGGAGTTTGCGTGTCTCTCTCTCTCTCATCATCATCACGGTGGCTAGGAGATGTTAACTCCCTCGCCTGGTATGCTGGATGCCGTGGGTTCGATCCCGACTCTGACGCCTGCTGTATATTTGGAGTTTGCGTGTCTCTCTCATCATCATCACGGTGGCTAGGAGATGTTAACTCCCTCGCCTGGTGTGCAGGATGCCGTGGGTTCTATCCCGACTCTGACGCCTGCTGTATATTTGGAGTTTGCGTGTCTCTCTCTCTCATCATCATCACGATGGCTAGGAGATGTTAACTCCCTCGCCTGGTATGCAGGATGCCGTGGGTTAGATCCTGACTCTTGACGCCTGTTGTATATTTGGAGTTTGCGTGGCTCTCTCATCATCATCTTCACCGTCACCAACCGCATTGGCCCAGCGTCGTGACGACCGAGCATCATGGGCTGCTGCTGAGTTGTTTACAGCAGAGGGCAGTGCAGTGAAATGCATTGTGCGGCTACGCCTCGGTTTACGGAAGGGGGATGATGCGTTATCGATATAAAATGCCACGCGTAATACGATAAAAAAATTTCAGCGTAAAATCGGCTTTTCCCATTTTTACTTAACGTAAAAAAAATCATTGGGGGTGTGCGTTTTGGACGGTCATTCCACCTCGGCTCCTAACCTGAAAATATAATGGACCTAAATCACCTTTTCGCCATGAAGGGCGGTCTCCGACTCTTATTGTCCGCTGCGTCTCTCTGGCCACGCGATCCGCGTGCCATGAAGAAGGGCCTTTGCCCGGAACGTCGCCTACATCATATATTTTTCTCCATGACGACCACGGTATTAAATTTTGATTTAAGGCTTTTGTGACTGCAGGGATTCATATTCTTGGTTCTTTCGGTAAAGTCACACCTGATGATGATTGCTTGTGTTGCAGTCGAAACGTCGTGAGAATTTTATTGTTTTATATTTTTTCTGTATTTTATTTTTTTGTTTCTCTTCTACGTGACTTTACCGAAAGAACCAAGAGTATGGACCACAGTATTACTGACGAACGCGTTGACGTTTTGTCTTTGCGTGCTGTTTATTTTAAAATGCACGTATTATTAATGTCAGGGGTTGGATTGGTGGCGTCGTAGACTGCGCACTGCATGATTAACCCAGAACGCCGAGTTTGATCACCGGCCACGGCTAACTAATATCAGTGGCAAGTGATGTATTCTTCCTGCTTCACCAAGCTGCATATAGACTCGTGTGACCTTCATCACGTGGGGAGGTCTTCATCTAGCAGTAGATTGACCTTTAGAGCTGCTCTTTTGTGTTTTAGTTTATTGTCCTTCCCCCGCACCTCCGATTTGCACGGTTGGCTACGCACGGTGCGAAAGAGGTTCAGCGTACATACATAGACTCACACAGAGACCCATAGACTCACACAGAGACCCATAGACTCACACAGAGACCCATAGACTCCCACAGAGACCCATAGATTCACACAGAGACCCATAGACACTTACACAGAGACCCACAGACTGACAAGGAGACCCATAGACACTTACACTGAGACCCGTAGACTCACACAGAGACCCATAGTCTCACACAGAGACCCATAGACTCACACAGAGACCCATAGACTCACACAGAGACCCTTAGACACTTCCACAGAGACCCATGGACTCACACAGAGACCCATAGACTCACACAGAGACCCATAGACTCACACAGACCCATAGACTCACACTTCAGACACATATACTCACACAGAGACCCATAGACTCACACAGAGACCCATAGACACTTACACAGAGACCCATAAACTCACACAGATACCCATAAACTCACACAGAGACCCATAGACTCACACGAAGACCCATATACTCACACAGAGACCCGCAGACTCACACGGAGACCCATAGACTCACACGGAGACCCATAGACTCACACAGAGACCCATAGACACTTAAACAGAGACCCATAGACTCACACAGAGACCCGCAGACTC